TCTGTTTAAGAATGGTAAGAACCAAGAGATGTTTACACAATTTCTGTTTAAGAATGGTAAGAACCAAGAGATGTTTACACAATTTCTGTTTTAGAATGGTAGGGGCCAAGAGATGTTTAAACAATTTCTGTTTAAGAATGGTAAGAGCCAAGAGATGTTTAAACAATTTATGTTTAAGAATGGTAAGAGCCAAGAAATGTGTAAGACATGTCTTTTTTTTTAACCATGTCAAGTGTCACGAGGTCCTTAAACAATACTTTTTAAACAAAGATTAAAGCCACAAGATGCTTACACCATTTGTTTATTACTGGCTGGATCTAATGCTATATATATATATATATATAATGCTACGAACACATAAAACCTTTTATGAACACAGGGCTGACCAATAAAGTATTCACAAGGAACTTACATAACTCTAGTTAATTTCTCACGATTACGACTCAGCTTTATTCCACTGTTTCCTCATATAATATACACAAGATTCTTGTTGACAAACAGATGGTAACTTTGAACGTAATTCGTGTAATTTCTTTACACGAACAGTGTGCTACTATATTAAAAAGAAAAACGACTATTTTTTGGCACAGTGAATGATATAATCTTCATTAGATATTTCAGCCGACTAGTTTCGGTAACACAGTTACCATTAATCTGGGCTAGTGAACACAGGCAAAGCCACCATCACTGGTGATGATAACTGTATTACCAAAACTAGTCGGCTGAAATATCTAATGAATATTTTATCTTCCACTGTGCCAAAAAGAATGTCGGTTTTGTTTTTATTCTTAATACTGTCTTATCTAATTTAACCACCGTGCCCTGAATATATAATGACCTATCCTGCTTATTAAATCATTTAATCTTAGGCTTAAGAGCTACGATCCTGATTACCGTAGAGAACGCTGGAATGAAGACAAGACGAAGTTCAGGACAAAACTACAACAAGCGTTTTAATTAGATGATTCGAACGTTTCGATGTCATAAAACAAGGTTCATTCGGTTATATAAGTACACGTTAAATAAAAGTCGAGTAGAACTGAATAATAGAATAAACACCTATGAACCACAAAAGAAGTCCGAGTACATAATTAAAATATTAGTATTCTTATGAAACAAACAGTAAAGCGATCACGTTTGTAGATAAAACGAGACAAAATGAAAACTGTGATACCAATATACTAGTCGTAGTTTCGAATACATGAAATGCCGTTTGTTTGTTTGTAGTTAAGCACAAAGCTACACAAAGGGCTATCTGTGCTCTGCCCACCACGCCGCTGTGCCACTAGGGGGGAGGATGCTGATTGATGGTTGTCATTATGCTAATTGAAATAGTTTTAGTTCGAAGGGTGTCTGTTAATTATTTGGATCAAAGTGGTCAACTAGAATTTAATGAGATGTTCAAGTTCCAGTTTTAATTAGAGTAAAGTTGATATGTTATGACTTGTGATTCAGTCACGTGATCGAATTGCCGAGTTTTTCTAGTGGCAGTCGATACTCTAAGGTGCTCATAGATTCCAGGTGTTTAGTTTTACCAACGTAGGTGCCCTAACTGTCACTACACGTGTATCTGTGTGTGACCCGTGATCGAATTGGTGTTGCTAGCCGGTCCTTGAGCGGAAAGAAGTTTTTAATTCGGAAAACTGGATAAATCTGAGTTGCACCTGAGGATTGTGTTGTTGTTTTATCGATATATAGTTGTTGTTTTTTTATCTACAAACTTCGAGAACCCATGAACGGTACACAGATGGAGACAGACATATTTTGGTACGTGTTGTTAAATAACTCAATAATGACATCAGTTAGAAAGATTTGTGGGTAGTCAGTCATTTTGTTTTAAAACTTTATACGTCAGAAGACTGTCTTCGCTGTCACAAGAACGAGGTTTAAAGCTTCTGCTTAAAAGGAATATCAAAATACCGGAATAAAGGTGTTATAGTTAATATTGAGGCTGTTAAGGATTTTTACAATATACAGATGAACAATTATCATATTTAGTTTTCAATTATGAAACATTAAACTCATGTAAATAAAATGCTTTCGTCTTCACCACCACCTTCATCATCATTTGAATCGTCCTCACAACCATCTTCGTCATCATTAGTATCGTCCTCAAAATCATCTTCGTCATCATTAGTATCGTCTTCAAATTCATCTTCGTCATCATTAATATCGTCTTCACAACCATCTTCGTCATCATTAATATCGTTCTCAAAATCATATTCGTCATCATTAATATCGTCCTCACAACCATCTTCGTCATCATTAATATCGTCCTCACAACCATCTTCGTCATCATTAATATCGTTCTTACAATCATATTCGTCATCATTAATATCGTCCTCACAACCATCTTCGGCATCATTAATATCGTCCTCATAATCCTCTTCGTCATCATTAGTATCGTCCTCACAACCATCTTCGTCATCATTAACATCGTCCTTACAACCATCTTCGTCATCATTAGTATCGTCCTCACAACCATCTTCGTCATTCATTATTACCGACCTCACAACCATCTTCGTCATCATTAGTATCGTCCTCACAACCATATTCGTCATCATTAGTATCGTCCTCGCCGTCATTAGTACACTTTCATCTGATTATTTTGCCAAGTTAAATGTATGTAAAGGTACTGGTTTTCTTATGAAAACATTGTTGTTTTATTTATATATTCTCTCATATGGAAGGGAAGAACCAGATTGATCAATAGTTTATATTAATAACGCAAGAAAAGTTTTAAGCGATTTTTTTTTTATATTGAAAACTAGTCTTTAATGATGACTCCACATGAAAAAGAAAAAAAAAGATATTCCAGAACAGCCAAGAATTCTGGGTAATATTGCGGAAAGAGCTTATGCGGTTTTACATCGGTTCAACTGTTTTGGATACAAGAAGAAATACCACGGAAATGATGTATTTTAATATCTTTGATTACTTCTGTAACATCTATAAAAAATCCGGAAAGACAAATCGATAGATTTAGCTACAGCGGCTGTACGAGAGGATCTTTTCTCTCCTGCATTCACTCGTCGTTGTAAACCTGTTGCAATAATACGTCCCTGTTTCCGTGTTGCAATAATACGTCACTTTCTGTTTTGCAACAATAAGTCACTGTCCGTTTTGCAATAATACCCCACTGTTTCTGTCTTGTAGAAATATATCGTAATTGTTTCATGGATGTTGAAAAATTTTCCAGTCATTCCACGTTACTTTTAACACTTGATAAGTATCACTAAATTACATTGTTTTATATAGGTTTCATACAGATCTTTATACCATTCATTGTTTTCTATAGATTTCATACAGATGTTTATACCATCGATTGTTTTATATAGATATTCGTTGGTTTGTAAGTAAGCACAAAGCTACACAACGGGCTATATTTGCACTGCCAACCACGGGTATCGAAAACCGGTTTCTAGCGTTATAAGTCCGCAGCAATACCGCTGTGCCACTGGGGGTGCTTACATATATCTGTAACATTTATTATTTTGTATAGATACCTGTATCATTCATTATTTTATATAGATGTCTGTATCAATCATTATTTTATATAGATATCTGTATCAATCATTATTTTATATAGATATCTGTATCATTCATTATTTTATATAGATGTCTGTTTCAATCATTATTTTATATAGATGTCTGTATGAATCATTAATTTATATATATATCTGTATTATTCATTGTTTCATATAGGTATCTGTATCATTCATTATTTTATATAGATATCTGTATTATTCATTATTTTATATAGATGTCTGGATCAATCATTATTTTATATGGATATCTGTATCATTCATTATTTTATATAGATGTCGGTATCAATCATTATTTTATATAGATATCTGTATCATTCATTGTTTTATATAGATGTGTGTATCATTCATAATTTTATATAGATATCTGTATCAATAATTATTTTATATAGATGTCTGTATCAATCATTATTTCATATAGATGTCTATATAATTCATTATTTTATATAGATTTCTATATCATTCATTATTTTATATAGATATCTGTATCAATAATTATCTTATATAGATGTCGGTAACTATCATTATTTCATATAGACGTCGGTATCAATCATTATTTTATATAGATGTCTGTATCAATAATTATCTTATATAGATGTCGGTAACTATCATTATTTTCTATAGACGTGTGTATCAATCATTATTTTATATAGATATCTGTATCAATCATTATTTTATATAGATATCTGTATCATTCATTATTTTTAGATATCTGTATCATTCATTTTTTATATAGATGTCGGTATCAATCATTATTTTATATAGATGTCTGTATCAATCATTATCTTATATAGATGTCGGTATCAATCATTATTTTATAAAGACGTCTGTATCAATCATTACTTTATATAGATGTCTGTATCATTCATTATTTTTTAGATATCTGTATCATTCATTATTTTATATAGATGTTGGTATCATTCATTATTTGACTTAGATGTCTATATTAATCATTATTTTATATAGATATCTGTATCAATTATTATTTTATATAGATATTTGTATCAATTATTATTTTATATAGATATTTGTATCAATTATTATTTTATATAGATATCTGTATCATTTATTATTTTATATATATATATGTGTGTGCATCAATCATTATTTTATATAGATATGTGTATCATTCATTATTTTACATAAATGTGTGTATCAATCATTGTTTAATATAGATATCTTATCATTCAATATTTTATATAGTTGTGTGTATCAATCATTATTTTATATAGTTGTGTGTATCAATCATTATTTTATATAGATATCTGCATCAATCATTATTTAAATAGATATCTGTATCATTCATTGTTTTATGTAGATGTCTGTATCAATCATTATTTTACATAGTTATCTGTATCATTCATTGTTTTATATAGATATCTAAACCATTCATTGTTTTATATAGATGTCTCTATCAATCATTATTTTATATAGATGTCTGTATCAATCATTATTTTATATAGATGTCTGTAGTAATCATTATTTTATATAGATATCTGTATCAATCATTATTTTATATAGATGTCTGTATCAATCATTATTTTACATAGGTATCTGTATCATTCATTGTTTTATATAAATGTCTGTATCAATCATTACTTTATATAGATATCTGTATCATTCATTATTTTATATAGATATCTGTATCAATCATTATTTTATATAGATGTCTGTATCAATCATTATTTTACATAGGTATCTGTATCATTCATTGTTTTATATAAATGT